TACTTCAAGTGTAAACTAAACAAGCTAATGCATATTGGCATGCGATGATTGCATCCAGCTGCCGCTGATCACAGCGCAAGTACAAATAGGCAGCATGGGCAATGCATACTCAGCTTTTCGCTTCGGAGCCGAGCGGTGAGAATCGTTCTGCTATTTCCAAGCTTCATTTGTGAATGAGACGAGTTCAGCGCACACTAAGGAGGCTTCTTCATGTTGGTGGAATGGTGCTACAGCGGTGGTGGTTTCCCGTGTCGAGTGGGTTGCACACATCAGGCTGCACTACCCCTTGTTTGTGTTGCAGGCGGCCATCTCCCCTGTGCGCTTCAGCATGCTAAAAGAGCCTTTTGCCTGAAAGAGCATTCATGGGTGGGCACGTCTTTTTAAAGATGGTGTTGCGTCTGTACTAACTCGACACTGCGTAAAGATGACGTTGCATCTTGGTATAGATGCGGTTTCACCCATGCTTTTCTGGATGCGGTTGTTACCTGGCACCGGGTAATGGTCACGATCGCTGCCTCACGTGCCTGGCCATTATGTACATTGAGGCTGCATTCATGGATGAGTTATGTTCTCATTGCGGGAATATGACCATCTCTGAGTTGCGGACCAGGCTCCGATTTCTCAAAAGGAGTGGAGTTCCAGTGCCTCTGCCTCAATCTGGTTCTTTTCCTGGCAGAAATCGGGGTAGGACTACTTCAGGAAGTAGCTTGGGCGGTCTGAGGTTCCCAGTGGCAGTGACTCCTCCGAGGAACCAACCTCTGAGGAACCATCACTCCTCTAGCACTCTGCAGCCAGTCGAGCTGCCCAAGGAATGTGCTGGGCCCTCTAAAAGGAGCGTACCAGCTGTATCATTCGGGGCTCTTCCCGACGATAGGATGTTGATCGCTGCATCAGAGAGCAAGCCGGAGCTCTCTGGAGAGGAAGATTCGGCTGCGCTGCCACCCTCCAGGACGGTGGCAATGCCTGAATCGGATCCAGAGATGACGGCTATGCTTGCCTGGGCTGCCGAGAGAGTAGGGCTCGAGTTGAAACTTCCATAGTGTCGTGAGCCAACGAGGTTTGCTGATTGGTTTCTTGGGGTGCCCCGCCCCGGTGCCTTTCTGCCTGGAGGTGCATGAGGAGCTCATCAGGTTGTGGATGGCACTTTTTACTGCCAGAAACCGGCCTGCTAGCTCCTCCTCCCTCACCACTCTCGACTTTGGTACAGCTAGGGGATATACAGAGGTCCCTCTGGTGGAGCGGTTGTTAGCGATGCAGTTGTGTCCTAATACTGCCTCCACCTGGTGAGGCAAACCATGCCTTCCCTTCTGGGCCTGTAGGTACTCATCTGGTCTGACCAGGCAGTGCTTATGCAGACTGTGGAGAAGCTTCCTCCGCTCTACACGCTATGGTGTTACTGCAGGTCCACCAAGCTAAATCGCTGAAGGACCTGTACGAGTTTGGCCACGACCCAGAGGTTCTGAAAGAACTCCGAACCGCAACTGACCTCGCGCTTCAAGTGACGAAGGTCACCGCAAGTCCTCCGGGTCATGCAACGTCCACACTTGTGGTCCAGGAGCGTCATCTCTGGCTGTGGATGTCGTCAAAGTTTGGTTCGTCGGGTTGAACTCTCCTAGTCCTTCCTCAATACCCTCTTGGGACCTGATTCTGGTGCTCAGAGCACTCCAGCTGAGACTTTGCAGTCAGCCGAGGTGAAGTTTCTTTCAATAAAATCTCTGCTCCTGGTTGCATTGGCCTCTATTAAGAGGGTAGGGGACCTGCCCGCATTTTTGGTCAACGAATCGTGCCTCGAGTTCGGGTCGGCTGACTCTCGGGTAACTCTGAGACCCCGGTCCGGCTATGTGCCCAAGGTTTCTACTACTCCCTTCAGGAATCAGGTAGTGAACCTGCAAGCACTGCCCCCAGATGAGGCAGACCCAGCCCTAGCTTTGCTCTGTCCCATCTGTGTTCTAAGATTGTACGTGGACCGGACACAAAGCTTCAGGACCTCAGAGCAGCTCTTTGTCTGTTACGGAGGCCGTCAGAAGGGGAAGGCCGTCTCTAAGCAGAGGATGGCCCACTGGATAGTGGATGCCGTCGCCCTGGCTTATCAGGCACAGGGCGTGCCCTGTCCACTCAGGTTGCAAGCTCACTCTACCAGGAGTGTTGCATCCTCCTGGGCACTGGTTGTGGTGCCTCGCTAACAGATATTTGTAGAGCTGCGGGCTTGGCGACCCCCAACATGTTCGCTAGATTCTATAGCCTTAATGTTGAGCCAGTATCCTCCTTTGTTCTCACCTCAAACGGGTAGAAGCACCGAGAAGCCCCGGCTAGTGTCGGCTTGCTATGTCACAAATTTGCTTTAGAGTTCCTTTGCAGACCCTGTCGAGCTCCTCTGTCACCCCCGGCAGCCAGACGTGGCGGAGCTTCCGGCGCCAGGCCTTCACTCAATGTCTCCATGAGCACCGGTAGGAGGCTGGGTGCCATATGTAGATATGACCCCAAGGGGATCCCATATGTGTATTCTTCCACATATAGCTTTAAGTCCGTGTTTCCCCAGTGGACTCTCTGCCATTCCTCCAAAGGGGTTACAGCCACCTCTAAATCTTCCATATGTACAGAAACCCTAAGGGGTTAATCTATATGTGTAAGTGCCACCTGAAACCTCCTTCGGGAACGATGGGGCTTCCACAACGTTGCTGTTCCAGTGGAACGGGTACGTTTTCCCAGTGTTATCCAATCTCACTGAGTTGATATAGTCCAAAGGAAACAGTGACTGGCCTTCCTGGTGTGAGCCCTGGCCCACACTCTAACAAGCGGCGCAGGAGTCTCGCACGGGACACTGGAAGGGGCAGCATCCATGGCACTTTGGTAGGGATCCCCAATTCGTCTGAGTATGCGTTGTACATGCTGCCTATTTATACGCTCTGCAATCAGCGGCAGCTGGATGCAATCATCACATGCCAATATGCATTGGCTCATTTAGCTTACACTCGAAGTAGATCTCTCTAGCGAGATTCCCAATTTGTCGGTTATCGACGCGACGTCTCCATTCCCTCCTTCAGGGAATGAGGGTTACATACGTAACCAAGACGTTTCAGGTCTTTTGTATTGTATTATAAGATAGTTGTATTCACTGTCTCAGGGTATAGCTGTAGTGTGTAGCTGTAGTGATTTTGATGGATTAAATGGTGATTACATAGAAATCTTCTATGACAGAAGACATAGAAATCCATATCATCTAACGTAAAAAAAAAAGAAGCAATTACTTGAAATGTTTTTATTGTGTGTTTCCAATAACTGTTCTTGTTTATTTCCTTTTTATTACTGTTTAATTTTTATTTATATTATCTTGGCTCACATAAATAAATAAATAAATAAATAACATTTCACCTAAACTACAGCATTCTTTTGTTTCTCCTTACAGATTGTGTGTATACCTGTACTGTATGTTTTAAAGTCTATTCTACAGGAACAAACAGCAGTCTATTGCAACAAAACAGGTTAGACCAGACTTGATACCAGTCTTCACAATCTTTCAACAGACTACACGGATATAAATATCTTAAAATGTTCCACTTTATATATTCTTCAGAACATTACTGTGGCAGTGCCATGGTACAGGTAAGGTGTCATATGGCAAAAGTGTGGCACTATGAAAAATATGGAACTGAATGACCTCAGCATATTAAACTTTCATGGTATTTACTATGAGTCAAAAGTTTGGACAAACTTTAGTTTTTTTTTCTTCCTAAAGACTTAAAATTAGCTTTGTACAAAAGCATAAATGGGGAATTGCATTAATTTCTTTGTAAAATTTGAAAACTTAGAATATAATTTTTAAATAGATGAGATTATTAAATATATATATATATATTGTTTTGTTTAGTTTTTGTGTTAATCATGACAATTTTAGTCATGTTATATTTCCATATGTTACAGAATTATTCTGTGTAAATTATCATAAGAAACGGTAGGCTAATTCTGCCCACACCTAGTATTTCAAAGTATACTTATAAGAAAAGCATACTGTGCATACCATACCACATACCATGCACCAAGACAATGGTAGTGGTCCTTTTTAAAACGTTTTAAATGTGTCTAACTCTAAGTTACATCCTGATCGGGAATTCATTTCTTAATGCGTCCAAATTATCGCTCTAAATATTGACACGTCGTCACATAGGCTAAGTGTGGGTACGTGTAAAACAGGGCAGGTCTGATGTTCAAAACGCAAGCAGGAACTGCGGATTTAAAGTAGGATGTCTAAAACCCAGGGAAAGACATGAACACAACTGTGTGTGTGTGCTCAGAAGTATCACCGGAGAACTGTCGAGGTGAATCTGTCGGAATATCGAAACGAGTGCAGAAAACATTCATTTGAAAGGACCGGAGCAGCACGAGAGTGATGACAAACTTTTCGACGCCGATCTCAACAAGGAACTTTAACGCGACTATTTCAGAGCGTCATTTGAAACGAAAGCTCTCATATGAATATATGTTGTGTCTAATATGTCTTTGACTGTAAAACCGCGGAAGTTTGCCAGAGTTTAATTTAGGTCATACGGCAGAAATGTTGCCACGCAGTCGTTTTTGAGTTCGGGATGCCCTTCTGTGGTTCCATTCACACGCTCACTAACAAGTTTTGTGCTCTCAAATTGTCTATTTACTGCAGTCGCGAGGGTAATGCACATCGTCTCTGTAAATCCAGGTAAACCACAATCAAATCCCGTTTTTATTATCGCGATAGCTTAAATAACGTTTGTTACCATAGCGACAGAGTGGTTTCATTTGAGTTCTGCTGGTCATTTCGTGCAACGTTCGCGGATTCTCTGCTATGCTGTTAAAAACTGAATGCTTTTTAAACCACTGCGTTTGTTCCTTCTTAGCCAACATACTTAACCGAAGTCGTATCTCTGTTTCTAATTTGTTTCCGACTTTTTAATATTCAGGTAGGCTTGTCATATTAAAGAATGTGGATTCACTCTCTTTCAGAACCGAACTGAGCGTGAACTGAAAATATTTGAAAAGAATTCATAGTACTAAAATAATGAAATTTAGGAAGTATTTAAGGGGCCGTGGGAGGGTCTTGGCTTTTGTGTTTATCGCGTCTGTAATCTGGCTCCTTTTTGACATCGCAGCATTGCGGATATCCATCATCAATGATGGGAATCAGGATCTCAAAGAGAGAGAGAATGACAATGTAAAGGATGTGCTCAAACACCCCCTGCAAAAAGTAAACATAGACAAAAAGGAGTTTTTGAAAAACAGCAACAGGTTTGAAAGGAAAGTTGATAAGGTTTACAGAAAGAGGCCAATGGCGAGGCCAGAAAATCAAGCTGAGTTAAAACAAGACAAACATTTGAATCCAATGTCTATGGCTGACAAGTCTTTTGTGAAACAAAATGAGGTAATTAATCAAAGTAAAGTGAATCTAATTGTGAACTCACTTGTGAAGGGAACAATTATTAGCATCCCTGAAAAAATAAACAAGACAAAAACTGTTATTAATGGCAAAGTGAAGAATATAACTACAAAGATAAACAAAATAAAAGCTGCTTTTAATGGACAGACAGATGCAAATCTAGACGGCAAAGCATATTTGCTTACTAAAGTACTGCCTGCTGTCCAGGAGAAAGCACATTCTCCTGTGCTCAGTGTGAAGAAAGTACATCATATTAATGACACAGTATTGATGCCACATAATGAAGTACATGTAGATGCGGGTTTACGAAAGAACTTGAGTAATGAATTGCTGAAACCAGCAGAGGGTGATAAACCGAAGAACATTATTGAAAATTCAGAGAAACATGGCAGTACTTTCAACAAAACGAAACCAGATATTATTCAAAAACCAAGTGAACTTAAGGCTCAGGACCCAGCAGAGGAGGCATTACGAGTACCGCAGCCTACAAGTGTGTGGGTGAAGAGGTCAGGAGGGCATCATAAGGTTATGGCCCTAGATGTGACAGACAGGCCCAGAGATCCCAGAGCTGTGGGACAGTTTGGCCAGCCTGCAAGAGTTCCCAGAGATAAAGAACTGGAGAGTCGAAGACGCTGGAGTGAAGGATTTTTTAATGTATTCCTGAGTGAACAGATACCAATAGACAGAGCCATCCCAGACACCAGACCTCAAATGTGAGTTTGAACCATAGATTATTTTTGTTGTAGTCCTGCAGGTCATGACAAATTTTCTGTTATGGCAAGATATGTGTAACACCTCCATATCCTGTGTTGTTTAGATGTTCAGAAAACCTTGTTCATGATGACCTGCCCAGTACCAGTGTGATCTTCTGTTTTGTGGACGAGGTTTGGTCCACTCTGCTGCGCTCGGTGCACAGTGTGCTCAACAGGTCTCCTCCACACCTGCTCAAAGAGATCATTCTGGTGGACGACTGCAGCACCAAAGGTTTGAGGGATTGGCTCACATTTTAAAGAAATTATTTAATCAAGTGAGTTCATTGACAGGGTTTAATAGATAAAAGCTTAAGACCTTTACACATAGTTTTAAAATCCAGTTTGGTTGATACAGACTTGCAAGTGACCAGCACTAAACACAGAGGTAAATATGGTCCAAAAACAAGCTTATGTTTCACAGATATCCATAGAGTAAGTAGTTAATTCTTCAATAAGGTACTCCTTTGCCCACTCAAAATCTTGAAAAGTAAACCTTTTTCTAAATGTACTTGCTTAGTCTATGACAAAACATCACAAGTCCTAAAATAAAAATATAAGCATGGATGTCATCATCCTTCAAGAGGATCTTGGGGGCATTTGGAATTTACATTGAATGTATTCTTGCATTGAAACACAGTTAAATGTGTTTTGAAGATCTGAGATGACCGAACACCTGAGAAGAGATGATGCCAACCCCCCAGTAGACCTCAGATGATGCTTACCCTGGAACAACATATAAAACTACCAAATTGTGCTTAATCGCAAAGTTTAACCGCAATCGCAAAGTATAATCGCAACATATAATCATTGCAGTTAATAGTGTTCACTGTCTGTTTCATTACGTGTAATAAACTGCATGATTCCTACTGTACATTTCTGCCATAGTCACCACTAATAACCTACTCCTAAATGTAATGTAGAAACTTAACAATTTCACAATACAAAGCACAATACAAATAAACTTGAATTGAATTGAATTGAATTAAATAAAATTAATGGAATGGAACAGAGTGCAAATGTTTTGAGAAGTGTTTTTTTAAAGACTAAAATTTGACACTGCATGCTGTTATGGTAAAGAATGGTATGGCATGGTAAAGAAAGCACCTCTGATACCAAATATGAATACTGAAAGAAAGAGAAAAAAAAGATTTTTAAATTTGTGTAGTTGTTGGAATGGCATTCATTGTTGTAAAAATAAATTGTACACCTAATGAACTGAAAATCTGGTGTTCAAAGTAGAAGTTTCTTGATTTTACTATACACTTCTTTTAAAAGGGAAGTTAAAAAGTCTGAACAGTCTTTTTTTAAGCATTTTTACTTTAAAACTGTCATAAAAGAAAGATAACTACCTCTAATTGAAGAAGACTTTTCTGCATTTTTGTTTCTGTATGACTAAATTTATTTCTGTTTCTATTGTAGACTACCTGAAGGAGCAGTTGGATGTTTATATGTCTCAGTTCCCTAAAGTACGAATCATCCGTCTGAAAGAGAGACAAGGCCTAATCAGAGCCAGAATCGAAGGGGCCGACGCTGCTACAGGTACTGTACACTCACATTCGATTCAGTTCAGTGTAGTTGCAACGTTTCAATCCATGGATTTGTGCTTAATTTAATCTGTTTGGAATGCATAGAATAGACATCTCTGTTATCTCGCATCTCTGTTGTATAATATGCATATTGTTTTAGTGTATGGCCTTATTGGTTGTTTCAGCAGATCTTGTTTTATCTGCAGGTGAAGTGTTGACATTCCTGGACTCTCACGTTGAGTGTAACGTGGGGTGGCTGGAGCCACTGTTAGAAAGAGTTTACCTGGATCGCAAGAAAGTGGTCTGTCCTGTTATTGAGGTCATCAGTGATAAGGACATGAGGTAATGAAGTATATTCAGTCATGCAATTAAATAAATGCTGTGCTCCCCATTTTGTACATGGCACATTACCGTAGCACATATCCATGTCCCTTTGAGACTCAATAGCCCTTTCCAATGTATCATTCCTCCACTGCTGCACTGAACTGTTAAAATTCATGCACTAAAATGTATTAATTTATTATTTTGTCTACGCAGTTACATGCTTGTTGATAACTTCCAAAGAGGCGTTTTCAGATGGCCGCTGGTGTTTGGCTGGAGTGCACTACCGGAGGAATATATTAGAAAGAACCAGATCAAGGATTCAGACCCCATCAGGTAACATCAACGAAATGGCATATACAATATATATATATTCAGAGCAAGTTGGCTGATCAGATTTGTTAAATAATTTGTTTATTGATTTGTTAAGATTTGTTCATTGATTGGTTTAGCTGTACTTTTTGCATGTTACCAAAGATGACAAGTGTTTTTTATGCTGTATTTTAGAGGGTGTTACTGAATCAAACGATTTACTACAAACACAGTCATTCACAAGTCCTGTTACGTTCCATTAAAATCTGTAAGTCTGCAGAAATAGTTGTTATTTAAACATTAGGTTTCCCCACAAAGGACAGCAAATCAGATTATTCTTTCCCTGCTTGGCTTGACTTTTTATTGAGCTAAAAGAAAACCAACAAATTCCTACATGTTTAGGGGTCCAAGCACCAATCTTGGTAAGAAGTTTTGGTTTCCCTTTATTTTGAGAGGCCCTTTAACACATTCTGTTGACTGTAAGTAATGTTGTACCTACATATCTACTAGCTCTCAATAGAATGTTAGTAGACTTTTAGTAGAGTGGTAGGGTTAGAATAAGTTGACATGTACTTGCAAAATTACTTAGAGTCAGTAGCATGTCTGTTGGGCGACCATCACAATAAAGAGTTGGCCGATATTAGAGGGATAGTTCACCCAAAAATGAAAATTTGATGTTTATCTGCTTACCCCCAGGGCATCCAAGATGTAGGTGACTTTGTTTCTTCAGTGGAACACAAACGAAGATTTTTAACTCAAACCGTTGTAGTCTATCAGTCATATAATGGTATTCGACCACTCCAGATACATTTAGTCCACCATTTTGGAACGTATTGCGGCCCATAGAAACAGTCACTAATGAGGCATCTACTTGTTATATCTATGTCTACTATCCCAGAGCACGTACACGCGTCACGCGCCGAATGTTGTGAATGTGCTCAGACATTGCGGTGGATCAAAGGTAAAAAATTATATAAATACTGTTCAGTTTCTTGCACAGACCGATCGTTTCATGTCTTAAGACCTCAATGTATCGTCACGAGCCGCAGGGTTTAATTTGGTTTTGTCTGTGTGTTTTTTTTTTACTGTCGAAGCCTGGAGCCCATTGACTGCCATTATATGACTGATAGACTGCTACGGTTAGAGTTAAAAATCTTCGTTTGTGTTCTACTGAAGAAACAAAGTCACCTAAATCTTGGATGTCCTGGGGGTAAGCAGATGAACATCAAATTGTCATTTTTGGGTGAACTATCCCTTTAAGCAAACAGTCTACTAATACTCTAATGAGAGTTAGTTGATATGTAGGTGCAACGTTACTTATTGTCAACAGATTGTTCAAAAGGGACCATTGAAAATAAGTGTTACCGAAGTTTCTCCAATTTTATTTGAATAAACAAACAAACATATCCGTCAGCAGCCAATCAAAATTAATCACCTTATTACATCAAATCTGAATGACAGACCATCACAAAATTTGGCAGGTTAAAGAAAAATTGCTGAAAATTTACAGGCAATGCAAGATGTACAGTAGATTAATTTCTTGTTCTTCATCAGAAAAATTTTTGGAGAATTTAGCATTACATCACTTGTTCACCAATGTATCCTCTTCAGTGAATGGGTGCCGTCAGTCCAAAAAGCTGATTAAAGCATCATAATAATTGACATGACTCCAGTTCAGCCGTTAACATCTAGTGAAAAGTGAAAACATGTGGGTTTGTGATAAATAAATGCATTAAGACGTTTTAAAATCATTGCATCCAGCTAAAATATGAGTCTTCTATTCATAATATTGCTTTCTCCAGTGAAAAAGTCAGCTGGTCTGAATCGGGACAGAAATATGCACAGATCATGCACCGTTTACAAAAAAACAGTCCAAACAAATACATTGGTGGATATTGATGAGAGGACAACAGAGGAATGGACTTTTTCACTAAAGGAAGCATTATTATTGCTTATTGACTTGGCCAGAAACAACGGTTTAAAGTTAAAATAGATTTTTTTAAATATTGACAATGTGGTTTTTTTTTACAAAAACACAGCTTTTCACTTCACAAGACATTAATTGATGGACTGGAGTCGTGTGGATTATTGTTATGCTTTTATCAGCTGTTTGGACTCTCATTCTGACGGTGAGCAAGTGATATAATGCTAAATTTCTCCAAATCTATTCCGATGAAGAAACAGGCTCATCTACATCTTGGATGGCCTGAAGGTAAGTACATTTTTAGCAAATTTTCAGTTTTAGGTGAATTATTGCTTTAAGGTGTTTGGTTAAGGTGTATGGAATTTGGTGAGAATCAACCACAAGGTTATTCTTTATGCATGTTTTTGCTAATAACTATGGATTTGTAATGGTTAAAATCAAAATTAATCTCTCTTCCAATTACATCAGTTGATTAACTGACTGTTTGTTTATTTATTTATTTACATGAAGTTTTCCACCATTTTGAGTTAATAAAAAAAGGGTATCCACCATCTGGAGATGCCCCTGACAAAAAGTTGTCAAAACAGTTTTGATAACTTTGTAACACTTTACAATAAGGTTCAGTAGTTAACGTTAATGAATACACAACTAATATTAACTAACAATGAGAAATACATTTGTTACAGTATTTATTAATATTTGTTAACATTAATTAATGAAATTACAACTGTACACAAATATATAATATAAAACTTTGGATTTTAATAATGTATTATTAGTATATGTTGCAATTAATATGAACTGAGATTAGTATGCTTTACAAGTATTTTTCATTGTTAGTTTATGTTAACTAATGTACCTAATTAATGTTAACAAATGGAACCTTATTATAAAATGTTAGCGATGTTGCAATCATATAGGCCATATATTTATTTTATATTTTTCTTCTTGTTGTGAATGCAATGTCCAAACTTCACAAATCTTATAACATTATCTTGTTATTACACATAGACAACAGGACATTCTGAGTATGAGGTAAATTTAATGAATTTGCTCAGAGGGTCATTTTTTTATCAATATTAGTGACATTAATGAAGACTGTAATATTAACGTTGTCCACCAGAGAGAGCCATAGGATAAGAATTATTTTTAGGACTTATAGATTCAAATCTGTGTAAATGGTTCAATATATATGAAATATTCATGTTATTTTAATATAGTCAGTTTACAAAAAAGTGATCTTCAGAAAGCTTACAGATAATTACATCACCTTTGCTTTGTATCCTAATGAAATTGTTTAAGATGTATGAACATACTTGTCCAGTGACTTGGCTGAATATGTTGCTGTCCAATTACATGAAAAGACAAAATTATTTGTCTATTTTAATTTAATGCATAATTTAATACAATAATACTTCCGTAAAGAGACACTTTAAGAAAAGAGACAGGTCCACTGTATCATTGTTGTATGAGCCGTTGGTGCTTGGATCCTGATAATTGTCGCTTGCAGATATGTGTTTAATTGTGTGATCATCAGTCATTTTTAAATGTAGATAATATTGTGCACTTTTTGTCTTTGCTGTGAACAACTGATTCATGTGAAAAGCTGAACAAACCAGGGCCGTAACCACCATAGACATTGACATTGATCATCCAATATTTGAAATGTTTGCAATGAAATGCTGCACTCCATTATGCAGCGCTCTGTTTGTTGTTAGGATGTCAAAAGGTTTAAAAGTTACATTTTTAGCCTGGTCTGCTCAGTGGACCCCAGTGTTCAGGACACGGTTACGGCCCTGGAACAAACATGAATGGGACATCATTACTGTATAATTGTATTAGTTTTCATGTTTATGCAGATCAACACTTACAAATTAACTATCAAGAATATTATACTGTTTATAGTAGTTTCAGTGTACTTTTAGGTCTAATTATAGGTTATACTACATTTATGTTGTAATATGTAATACAATGTCTAAGTGGCAGCAGGTAATGTGTTATTTGTGCTGTAGATCTGGATGTGTGGAGGCGAGATTGAAATCATCCCCTGCTCACGTGTCGGCCACATCTTCCGTGGTGATAACCCTTACAAGTTCCCTAAAGATCGTGTGAAGACAGTGGAGAGAAACTTGGCCAGGGTTGCGGAGGTGTGGCTGGATGACTATAAAGAGCTGTTTTATGGCCATGGCTACCACCATCTGCTGGACAAAAGTGTGACTGATATAGGAAATCTGACAGAACAGATTGAGCTGAGAAAAAATCTCAAGTGTAAAAGTTTTAAATGGTACTTGAAGAATGTGTACCCAGATCTGGACACCCCTCCGGTCAAAGCAGAAGGACTGGTAGGTAGAAAATAAATCAATTTTACACCGCTATCACTTACACAATGAATTATTCTGTGTTAATAATCGTACAAACATATATTTTTTTTATTCATATATTTTCAGATTTTCAATGTTGGAACCAGAAAATGTTTGGTATTTCAAAATGACATTTTATTTTTCAATAAATGTGATCTCGCAAATAAGGTAAATCCAAATCAGACATATTATTTACGTGGATATTCCATTCTGCTGTATAATCATTCATCAAAAAAAAAAAAAAAACACTGTTTCTGTTTTCTCATGCCTCGCAGAGTCAACACTTCAGCTACACCTGGTTAAGGATACTTCGACAGAACACTTCCTGTTTGGCTCCTCAGGAAAAACAGATTATCATGGAACAATGTGACAACACAAAGCCACATCTCCGCTGGATGCACAAGTCTGGTAAAGCTTTGGTAAGTACAGCACAAAATCTAATCTCTAGGGATAGTAAAACTGATAAATTAATCAATAAATGGTGTGAATGCTGGGACAGGAAATATTAAATAATATCCCAATATGATTGTTCCAAATGTTTTAATAGAAATTGGATCACTTGCTTCTCTTATGGTTAATGTTAAGCTGAATTTAAATAAAGGACACTGAACTGACACTGTCAGCCCATGTATAAACTGTTATTTGCTTTTAAAAATGTTTTTTTGTGGATTTCAATATTGTTGAATAATTGTTTTTGTTAAAAGCTTAACCCTCAAATGGTCCTCGTTTCCTTTTACACTTAAGGTCTTTGGGGTCAGTATGACCCCAAAATTGATAGACCAATTGTAAATAATATATACATTTACATTTAGTCATTTAGCAGACACTTTTATCCAAAGCGACTTACAGATGAGGACGATGGAAGCAATCAAAATCAACAAAAGAGCAATGATATGCAAGTGCTATAACAAGTCTCAGTTAGCTTAACGCAGTACACGTAGCAAGGTTTTTTTTATTTTTTATTATACAATAAATAAAAAGAAAACAGATAGAATACAAAAAGATTAGAAAAGCTAGTGTTATTTTTTTTCTGGATTTTTTACTTTTCTGAGCTGTAAGGCAAGCTCTAATCATCAAAATTAAAACCAAAAAATTTTTTGAAATGTTTTACTTTACATGTAATGAATCTAGAATATATGAAAGTTTCACTTTTTGAAATAAGTAACAAAAAAAGAACTTTTTCACGATATTCAAATTTTTTTTTAATGCACCTGTATATAGGTTTCTGCATTGATTACTCATAAAATGTAGTCTGATCTTTATTTAACTCACAATTATAGATAAACAATCTGACTAAATTAATAACAAATAATTGTATTTACATTGAATACATTGTAGTGATTCACAGTGCAGGGCGGAGAAAATAAGTGAAACCTTGAATTTAGTAGCAAAACCTCCATATTTACCTTTAGACCAATTTTGGACCATTTCTCCCTACAAAGCTGTTTCAGTTTATCAATATTGTCTTGATAGCACAGCCCTCTTTAGGTTATGCCACAGCATCTGAATCATCTTAAGACCAGTGCTCAGGAAAAATGCACATTCAGCCACTCTTTATTTGGTATTACTTGTGTGATTTGGGTCCTTGTCATGTTGCATCACAAAGCCTCTTTGAAGCTCATTAACTCCTGACATTCTCCTGTAAAATGTCTTGATACACTTTATAAGAGGGAGGTTCGAAGATGATCAGATACTGTCGTAGTTCAGACCGTAAACAATGCTGCAACCACTTTCCGGCAGCGTTATTCCAGTAATCAACTGGGCAGCATGTAGGAGTCTGGGTTCTGAAGTGAGTATGGTTGCAACGATTACATTTAAAGAAATTGATAGGAAGGGCCCACCAGGAGTGGAGCGTGCATCTTAATTAGACTCAACATGGGAAGCCTCACCCAGCCAGGACATGGAAAGGACTGACAGATTGATAGGTCTTTCTCGATTCTGTGGGTGGTGGTGCGTGTGGTAGCTTCAGTTTCCCTGCATCTCCCTGCTAGGCCCACCACATAAGTGTTCAGACCCTTATGCAGCAAAGCAGTGTTAAACCATGATACTCCATCCACCATGCTTCACAGTTGGGAAGAGGTTTTGGAATTGCAGGGTTGAGGCACTTTTTCCTCTGAACAAAACATTGTGCATTTTTGACAAAATGGTTAACTTTTGCCTCAACTGCCCATGGGATATTTTCCCAGAAGTGTTGTGGAACATCCATGTGGTCTTGGGCAAACATGAGACATGCCTCAATAATTTATTTTTTGGCAGCTACTTTTTGTCCTGAACATCACTGAACAGCATTCTTCACACCGTCTTTCTGATGGGGGGAAAAGGGTGTTCTGCATATTGTAGAGTTTTCAGGGGGTCTTTTGCTGTAGCAACAGTTCAGAATTTCTACATTTGTAGACATGGTCTCTTACTGTGAGATTCCTGAACACCCAGGTCTTTAGCAATGCTTTCCTATAGCCTTTCCCATCTTTGTGTATCTGCATTTTAAGCTATTTGGATCAAGGCATGATTCACACTAAATAAGAAGACCAGATTGTCAGTAGCCAGGCTTTGTGTTTCTTTATTTTAAGAGCAGTGCACCTGTGCAACCCATACTTCCAGTTTTAATTAACTGACTAGCTTGACTTAGCTTTTGGAGAAGTCATAACACAGAGTATTACTTAATTTTTCCAGCCTGCTCTGTTATTGATCACTAAATGTCCTGGATAAAATAAATAAATAAATGTCTTTATCTGTGACTTAGATGAAGGTCAGACCACATTTTATAATAAAAAATATGCTAAAATTCAGCACTGATTACAAAAAAATTATAATAATAAATAAAAATAAATCCCACTTTATATTAGATGGCCTTAACTACTATGTACTATACATCAAAAAATAAGTAAAATGTACTTATTGTGTTCATATTATATTGCAAAACATTTACTGCTAGTGAGGTGCGATAAGGGTAAGGTTAGGGAAAGATTTGGTGGTATGGGTTGGTTAAAGGGTGGGTTAAGATGTAAGGGATGGGTCAAAAGTATAAATAGAAATGTAATTATAGAAATTAATTACAGATGTAATTACATGCAGGTATTTTTTAAATATAAGTGCAATGTAAAAAATATGTGCTGTATGTAAACAATAAATGCATTGTATCAAATTATTAATTTAAATGTATGTACATACTGTAGAAGTTAAGGCCACCTAATATAAAGTGGGACCAAAAAATAATTTTTAAAGTGTTAACAAACTTACCATTGTATATAATAATTATATATGCCCTCAAGTACCGTGCTACCCTTTATTACCACATAACAAAAATATTAAGGACATTTTATGAAGGAAATTCAATCACTTTCCACTAAAAGGTTTAGTTCTTGACATATAAAATAGTGTTAGTATTGTAATCTATTGGCACTGCACTGTGATACACACAGTACAGTAGCTGTGGTGTTTCACAATGTTTCTGTGGTGTATTTTAACATTTGACCATTCAGCAACCAAGAGCTGTTTTATAAGGTTTTATATGAAAAGTATGAGGTTCTCTTATAAATCATCTTGTGTGCAGTTGCACTCTTGATTTCATATATCAAGATAGGAACTGTGCTCAGTTTAAATGTGTAAACATTGTTTGACCAAAGTCTACCATCTATATCTATGTCTAGACGGAGCATGTGATGATGGACGGTCATTCCCAACCCATTTGCCTGGAAGCTGGAGTTAAAGCCGACAGCATCTTCCTTAAGGACTGTGATCCTATCAATACTTTTCAGAAATGGCAGTTTACACACTACTACGCTGAGTGAGATGCTCCAGAATATCACTCACATATTGTCCATAACAACTTTCACCTCTGTGCATAGATTTGTAATTTAGTTTTTGTTTTTTGTTTTTAATAGCATATGTGTGGTTTGATGAGAGTTTACTTTATGCACTTTGTATAATACAGATATGGTTTTTGACATTCTGAATCATAGGGGTTTGAGGTTCACATCAGGGAATCAGGCCTTCTCTTTTGCATAATCCAGGTTATTTGTATTTTATGATTTGCTTGGGAAATACTGGTATGGATAGCAAATGATTCACAGGATTTTCTACAACAAAAAACATTTTGAAGTACCCTTATGATATTTTCACAATAAAGTTCTTGTTCCTTGTAAACACAAGGATTTCATTTTTTATATCTTGTTCAAGTCATTATGAAATGACCGACTTTACTATCATATTGTGACATATTTGCAAGTGAAGAAAACAATTTATTGGATTGTGGAAAGTGAGTGGTGCATACCTATAAGTGCCCCTATTGGCCAGATGACCCTATCCAATGCCGTGGCAGAAGGTTTTCTGCATTCCTTCTGTCCTTTATGTGCACTACTGTGAATAACACTTAAGTTATTGCAGTTTAAGGTATTTAATTCTAATTAATACATTACTTTCTGACTCTATTTTATCATGACCTTGAATTTGGTTTGGAACTCCAAATCCCAAATAAATTATTGGTCATATGATAATTTATCTTGACATTTTTGATTATGCAATTACCATCACTTTAGATTATGCTCATTCATTCAGATTCCAATAACCCTCATATGTATGTGGATCTCACGGTCACAAACTCACTAGTTTTGGTCATTAAATATAGGTAATTTACTTATACTTCTGTTTGCAATGACCACTACTGGTCACAACTACTACTGTTTGCAAACTAGACCAATATTACCTTTTTTAATAGCAGCTTTACATAATCATGCCATTGATTCCCATATATACACTTATCCACAGTAGAAGAACATTACAATAATCAGAGTTAGACATCACCCTATTTAGATTGGTCGATGTTGTCCTAAATGGAAATTCCCTTAGAGCCTGGACATTCTAAGTTCACTTAAGCCAATTCACTAGCTGAAGCTGGTACTGAAAAGCCTGTATGTTCATTCATTGTGTGTGTACTGTATATATCTTAAAGGATCAAATGTTACAACCTTACATAACAGAATGGAGGCAGATCTTAATGTAACTGCAGTGTGGCTTTGTGTAGGTCAGCGGAGAGGAATCATATCACAGTAAGAACAAGTGGCATAACAGTTTTAAATGAATATTCTGAGGTTAAAAAATAATAAAAAATGGATGACTTAAAAATGTATTTTTTGACATAAATTACTTATAAACTTAGTTGTCCACTTGTTCCTATTCCATCTCATCTCCTTCAAATGCCTCAAGTTATTGTACTGTAATTCCCCGTATCCTGAGGAGCCACTAGTCAAGTCAAGTAACCTTTATTTATATAACGCTTTATACAGTATGGATTGTAAAATCGGTTTTACAGTGTCAAACAGGAAAATAGTTTGTCGATAATGCAAGAGGACAATAACAAAGAGTCATTTTTTCAGTTAAAGTCAGTTCAATTCATTGATGATTCAGTGACGTCATCATCCATTTCAGCTCTTATCCAATCTTTCCCCAACTAAGCAAGCCAAAGGTGACAGTGGCAGGGAACGAAAACTCCATCGGTTGACAGAAATAGAGAAAAAAAAAAAAAACCTTGAGAGAAATCAGGCTCAGTCAGGGGGCCAGTTCTCCTCTGGCCAGATGAAACCAGCATGGCAGGAAGGACCAAACTTACATTGCGAATAGGTTGCTTTAGCCATTTCTTCTGGGAAAAATGCTATTTTTCCTATGCAGAAAAAGGACACTGCAGAGACCACATCCTGCTCTGAGGAAGGTTAACATGTGAAGAATACATCACATGGACTTACTTATGGAAATAAGTCTGTAGTGGGCTCTGCCTGAGAAGGGAGAAACTCACTCTCACAGTGACTGGAGGCAGAGCAAGGCTGTTTCATCTGACTGTTTCATACACTCCACACTATGTATCCTTTTGACTTCAGGTATGCATCTTTTACTCAGATTTATCTTTGAGATTTTGATGTCTTGTATTGATTATCTCTGAACTGACTATGTAATTGATAGTAATATGTAATTGACTAATAATAAATTGTTACATTTTATATTATTCTGATATACCCTGAAATTATTTTCTCAAGTAGATTAAATGAAGGTGTATGTCACCGTAAAATCTGCATCTAGGGTTAGCGCATAGTAGATCTCAGGTTAGATGAAGCAAGAGGAAGTACTGTTGTAGCAAGTATGGACAGTATACTTCATACTAACCATAACCTCTGATTTTTGTTATGAGTTTATCTAAGTTACTGTAGGGGGCTAAACACACAAAGGGGATTTAAAGAATGGCAAGCATGGGCAGCCTATTAAATAGTGTTAGTCATAACCCCTGGCCAGTGATCAGACTGGCGAGTTTGTGACTGTAAGATCCACATAAATGGCCAACGTGAATGTCCAGGAAACCCTCAGCCACCACTGGATACCTTTGTCGGGCCAACTGGGTGGACTGTTTACTATTGTCCTCCTGCATTATCGACACACTATTTACCTGTTTAACACTGTAAAGCTGATTTGACACAATCACTATTGTATAAAGTGCTGGTGACTTGATTTAACTTACATTAACTTACATGGGTTTACTGATAGGGAATCAGCCCATATGGACCACTTAAAGTGAAAAGAGAAAAAAAAGAAAAGAAAAGTGTGTTGTATCGCATCCCCTTTAACTCCTTAGAATAGAATGGTTCCATAAGAATGGTTCTGTGTCTGGCCTGTTTGACTGCCTGTGTGACATAAAATGTTGGATGGACATGAACTTCTTACAGCTAAACAACAACAAAACCGAAATTGTTATCTTTGCCACACCAGATTTGACCTCTGACATAGTTAATCAGCTTGGATCTCTATCTTGAAATGTTCATGACTGTCAAAAATATTGGTGTCATTTTTTATTCCAATTTGAGTTTCAATAAGCAGACTAGTGCTATTGTTAAAAGCAGTTTCTTTCAGCTAAGATCTATTGCCAAAATCAAGATGATGCTTTCTAAGAAAGACCTTGAAACTGTTATTCATGCATTTATCACCTCAAAGTTGGATTATTGTAACTCTTTATACCTGGGTTTGCCTAATTCACCTGTAAATCGTGGTTAAAAGATGGTTAAAAACACAGCAGCCAGGCTATTGACTGGCACTAAAAAGTGTCAGCACGTTACTCCTGTTCTTACCTCTCTCCACTGGTTACCGGTTAAGTCCCGGATTGATTTTAACATTTTGATTTTTTTTTATAAAGCTTTACATGGACTTGCCCCTCAGTATATCAGTGATCTTCTTGTCCCGTACAATGCCTCAAGATCCTTAAGTTCTTCCAATCATCTTCTTCTTTCTGTTCCTTGCTCACGTTACAAAACTAAAGGTGACCTGGCTTTCTCGGTGGCAGCTCCCAGACTTTGGAACAGTCTCCCTCTCAATATTAGATCTTCCTCTTCTGTTTCTTGTTTTAAATCTTCCCTAAAAACCTATCTGTATTCTTTATGTTTTAATTGAGGGTGTTTATATGTTTACATTTGTCTCCAAGGTTTTGATCCAGTGTGTTAATTCTGTTTTAATTTTGTTCTAATTTTGTTTTAATACCTCTGTACAGTACTTTGGTTGCAACTTCTGTTGTTTTGAAATGTGCTTTATAAATTAATAAACTAAACTAAACTAAACTAAACTGATGACTGACCCTAGACAGTAGAACGCTTTTTTTTTTAAAGTAGGCCTAATTTTCTTCAAACACATGAAATATTGCACGCTTTTTAGTTAGGTAATTTCATCTGCATTTATACTTATACTTCATTTTTACTTAGATATAATTCATGGAACATTTGCTATGCTTAAGTGGAAGATTTCTGCCACCTGGTAGAAATACAAATACTATTGAAATGAATGTCATGATAGTCCCACTATAACCACTAGATGGCAGCAGAGGATCATTCATTGTCTCATTTACCATTTCCACTCCGTAATATAGCTCTTTTCACATGCTTTGATTTTGGATTTATATTTAGATATTATAAAATCACTATTATAACATTTAAAAATCACCTCTTTGTCAAAGTTCAGCATTGTTTTATACGAAGTATTAAGTAGCAAGAATTTTCAAAAAATAAAAAATAAATAAATAATAAACTGTACTTGATCTACTTGAATCACACAAATGGCCTATTTTGAATTCAAAATGGCAGAACAACTTTAAATGTTGAATGAATTTATAGAGTCTTTATAGAGCTTACCAATTTCTTTTAGATCACTTGGATATTGCTGTCCTTATTTTAACGCATTGTTCTTTTTCCCCTTTGTCTTTTCTGTTCTTCACCCCAGAGCATTTCCCTCCTCTATCCATTTTGGTCATGTGACTCTGTCTGTACCAATAATGTGTCGAAGGGTGAGCGGGTTCTTCACTACACTCGCCTTCAGTGGACTGATTCGTTACAGAATACACGACCCAAGACAGAATGAACCCAGCAGTTGCACTTCTGCAGTTATGTCAAGGCCATCGGGCAATAGAGGATTACGTTCAGGATTTTTGTGTACTTTCTAACCGGGTGGACTTTAATGATGTCAAGTCACCTTTATTTATATAGCGCTTTTAACAATACAGATTGTGTCAAAG